CTTCAAACTGGCTTAACACAGAATTGGTACGAAATCAGAAGTTCAATTTATTTTTACTATTAACTTCAACCTTAGGATTTGCATTTATTCAATCTGTGGACGAGACAATTGTAAATATTATTAAAGCCTGGGCTTGGGGATGTGAATCGAACCTTAAGTCAAGAAGCTGGTTCCAACCATGAGCCGAATCATTCGCCGGGTATCAAAATTGCACATATGCAATACGAACAAAAATGAGCTCTAACTTTATAAAGATCTTAGCTTTTCATAAGCTCCTCGCTAAATTTTTAGTTTAATATGATATTGAAATATGCTGAATTGATTAAAAAAAAAAACGAGAAATAGCTGTTTAACACAGGGTATTTCCCCGTTCAGCATTTTTCAATTAAATTCAAACTTAATTCCTGTTGCAGGCGTCGGCGGCTGGTGCGTGGCTCCAGTTTCCACATATATACGTTTTTTCTGTGCCCAGGTCTTGAAGTACCTTATCCCTTAAGCATAATGACCGGCAATTACGGACGGAGAGCTGACGTCGAGGCTGACTCGACTTACAGCCTTGTAAGCATATGTCTGTGAAGTTATGTGCCAAGTGTAACATATTCTAAATAATTGATGAGTGTGCCCGAGCGGAGGCAGCTCGTCAGTCAGTTGGCTTCCAACTTTAAAGCGTATGCAGCATTTGCATAAAAACGGCTTTGACTGCTGCCCATCAATTAGACGCAGTCGCCGGCAGTTGGTAATTCCTATGCCTGGCCTGGTCCCCAGTTCCTTGCCTGCACACATTACAAACACTTCAATTTCCGGCTGTCTGGGCAAGAAGCTTCACTTTACCAAGCCTCCTTTGCCATCTGTACTGTGACTGGCAACTTTAATCAACGTAAATTAATTATCTATATACTTCGTTACAAAGTTCTTTTGCAGCTTCCGCACATTGCAGCCCCTTTGGATTTAGCCAGTTAAATGTCAGTCATTGATGCTTAGTTTTTTTTTTTTATATTTAAAGCGAACCATCTGCCTGTCATACCACATAAACCAATTAGCGTCAAATCAAGTGTTTTTTTATTGTAACTTTCAGCGTGAAAGCTAAACAAACGATTACGACTTGTTTTTACCTTCAATGTTTATTCACATTAGCAGTCGAGTAATATCAACATCCGTAGGGCTCGTAATTATTGTTACCGTTAATACTTTCGTCCGATATAGCTTGATATACAAACTTGTATATTTATTTAAATACTAGCGTGTAATACCCGGCCTTGCCCGTGGCAAGTTATGTAATAAATTCTGTAGATATTACAATTTTAACGGTGGGAAAAAAAATACCTGTTCTAGAAGAGTTCAAGTCTTTTATTTGAAAATATGTTTAAATTCAATCAACGAAAATATGCATACGATTGTAAAAGTTGATACATATAATAATACGTGCCCGATTTTAGGTGAAGCCGCCGTCTGCTCCATAGTAGAAACTGCCGTCTCCTCTATTATTCAAGCTGCCGTCTACTCCATAGTTAAAGCCGTATTGTCCTCTTGAAGTGAAGCCTCTGAGACTTACTTGAGTTTATGAGAATTGCATAGTAGGGCAGTACTTCTATTTTTTTTAACTTGCATAATTTTCAATACATACCCACGTTCTCATTTTCTCATTAACACTAACACAAAACTATGTATAGAAACATGTACCCCATATATACCGACACACACATATACGCACATGCATACACATACATACATGCATACATATATACACACATGTACGCACAAACATACACATAAGCAAACATACACACATTCATACATACATATATTTACATACATACATATATTCGTGAATATATACATATTTATTATGCATACACATTCATACAAGCATACATATATACATACATATACATGCATACATACATTCATATATACATAAGTACGTACACACATACATAAAAACATTCATATAAAAAATATAAAAACATATGACATAACTAATATCTAAATTCGTGACTAAATAAAAATGTTTTGCTAAAGCATGACTTTGGTCATGGCTGCTATATGGATATTCACCGTAGCACTTGATAAGCTCCAGATTCAGTTTCACAATCAGTGTCAATTAAAATGCAACGGAATAAAGGCGAATGTGTGCTACTGTTATTACTGCTGAGTGCGCAGATTGTTGTTGGAGTGTGGCTGAAGCGTTATATGGAGTCATTTCATCGGCCTTCCTATTATAATCGAGCGCATAAACAAAATATGCACGTTGACTATAATCGTGATATTTTAGCTGAACGGGATCGTAGAGAACCTGTAGCTCGCAGTGCCGGATTGCCAACATTCGATCCCAACGTGCATAAAAGCTACTATGTGCACGTATTATACAAGGGCTCGGTTTTTTGTAGCGGCGCTCTTATCTCACACCGCATGGTCATCACCTCGTCCCGCTGTTTCCTGAGCAACGAGATTGAGCCGACGCGCGAATACAAGGCCAAGCAGATGTCTGTGTTGCCTGGGACTAAATTCGGTAGACCCAAGCGGAAGGTCGCGAATGTCCAGGCCTTTTATTTGCCCACCAGCAAACATGAGAGCGGAAATATCCACGATATAGCGCTTTTGGGATTGAAGAAGAAGATGCATCGGAAGATTCGCTATATAAAGCTCTTTGAACAAATGCCAAAACCGGGCGGAACTGTGAATATGTCATTTTTGGATTCTCAGTCCCAAGCTATTACCCTGTTTAAAACCAAGGTGGTAGATTTCGGGGAATGTAAGGCCTCCTTTGAGCAGAGCGGCAAAATTGCTATTCCCTTTGACAAAGAGTTCTTCTGTGTGAGGAACAGAAAGAATGGAGGTTGTAGCACACGCGCCGGCGATCCGCTGATCATTGACAGTCAGTTGGCCGGCATCAATATTTATGGTGAGCATTGCGATGAGTTGGAGGGCAATCAAATGGTCGATGTTTACTATGCCATACCGCATACCATACCATTTATACAGAAGGCAACGGACTTACTTAGAGCCTTAACAGGCACAGGTTCCTTCAATGAATCGGCAACAACGAAAAGGACACAGCTAAAGCCAGTGAAAACCACAGTTAAAATGAATGTGTCTACTCTTCGCCCAGGGTAACAGAATATTGTGAAATACATCCATTGAGACATTTTCGAGCCCATGTGGTGTATATATATTCCCGATAGGTCCAACAGTCGAGTCCATAAAGCCATGTCCACTTTAAGAACTCTGTTTATGAAACCTTTTTTTTTGTTAAATGAATATATAACTTCTCATTTTAATAGTTTACTAAACTTCTTAATAAATGGGCAAAATATTTTCAACATCAGTCTGTTATATCATAATCCCCATGAAGATCACAAGACAAATTTGAGTTTTTGTATACAAAACTATTTTGAGCTACTCAGACTTCTAATATAAAAAAATTATATTTATAGAAACAACCAGTTGGAGAAGTTTTTATATAAATGTTATATAACACATCTCATATTTGCCCGTTAAGGTATGCTTTTACAAAGATATTCAGTATTCTCGATTATAGGTATACTATTAAATATATTCAATCCTTATCTTTCTATTAACGAGAACGTAAATATTATTGAAAAAGTTTACGCTGTAAACTAAATTCATTCAGACTTGTTACATAAATAGATAAGCTAAAGCGAACGCTGAACCATGACTAAAATATGTGTAACGAATGACGGCTAAGAGTTGGAAATATATATAAACTAATTACGTTGTTGACAGTCAAAATTAGAGCTTCCACAATGGCAACAGTTACTCTGTGGCTATTATCGTTATCAATATTTATCGTTCTCAAGCTGAACATAGCGAATACGAAAATGCATTACCATCGGTATATGCTGTCCGATTACAGGCCACAGCATAAATACAAGGTTCAACAAGACTATAAACGATTACCGCGGCCCACTTATCCGCCGGAAAAACGGATTATGATTAGGACAGGTACGGACGAGCCGATGGTTGAAATGATAGGAAACGGTGAACTTGTACGGCTGCATGATCTACTGGTACGGATATACAATGGCGACAAATTCGTTTGCATTGGAACGCTTTTGACCGAACAAGTTGCCATAACAGCTGGCACCTGCTACAGGCATGGACAAGCCCAAAATTATACCGTCAAGACCTCAAAAGATCAGACCATCGGGTTGTACAACCTGAACACAGACGCATTTCCCATTAAGGATAAAGATTCGGTAGTCAGTCTGCTGATTTTAAGGGTACCCGTGCCAAATGTAAGGATAACAGCACAGCTTTGTTTGGGCAGTCTGGAGGCTAATATGAATGTGGAGCTGCCCACATACAGTCAAAGCCGTCGTGTGGTGCAAAATCAACATTCCCAGGTGCTGCCCCTAGCTGAGTGTCGGCAGCAATTGAATGATACGGACGGCAACATTGTGACCAATGGGATGATCTGTGTTAAGAACGAGATGCGCACAGACAAATGTCAAAAGACATTTGGCAGTCCGCTCATTTATGAGAACCAGATCTGCGGCATCAACTTGCTGGGTCACAATTGTCCCAAGAAGTTTGGCATCGATCTGTATGCCGCCGTCGTTAATGAAGCCCAAGTAAGAAGAAACAGCGTTGCAAACATTGTCGCTGCCAACATAGAGGATGACATGTTCTGAGCGAGTAGCTTATAATATATTTCGAATATTTAGAAATTCTTATCGGTCGAGACAGTTTATATGATGCTTTCTGTATGCGCAAGGATATAATACAATCATTTTTAAAATGTTTTTTTTTGTTTGTTTTTTTCTTGAGGATTGAGAATAGTGTTAGAAATAGAAAACCCGCGTTACAATTCGCAAACAGTTTAAGCTTTACTTTGAGAATAACGTAAGTCACTTTGATTTTACATTAAAAGCAAGCTAAATGGGTAAGATAAATCAATTCGATACCGCTCATTAGGCCATAGCTCAGGCATAACAAATAGAACAAAGTTCTTTTGAAATGGAGTACATACGAAAGGAACTCTTGACTACGCCGACATTGTGGCTTTGTTTATACAGCGTTGTGATCCACATATATATACTCTGCAGGAGTGCAATCTGAAACATTTCTGACTGTTATCAATTCAGATATTTGATCCATTGCTGGAATGCTGTTGTCTACATTGTTAAGATTTGTGCTGCTATTGGCAATCGCCAGTTCCATTGTGGCCCAAAAAAAGATTTTGATAAAGTCGAAAAAGGTTCGTAAGCTTTATGGGACGGGCGATTGGGTGCCCCATTTTGGTTATATTCCCAGCCACGCGGCCAGCCAGCATTCCCATAGGCGTCGTCAAAAAAACACAATTCTCAATGTCAATGTAGAGACGGATAATTTTCAAGAATTGAGTGTTTATGTGGCGCGTATTCTCATTAAAGACAAATTATTTTGCAGCGGTCTTGTGGTGAGTAGCCAGACCGTGCTCACGGTCAAAATGTGCATGCACGATAAACTGGCGACAGATGTCGTTGTGAAATTGAGCGATGGCTCATTACATAAAGTGGCCAATAGAACGGACACTCAAGATTTCACAATGTCCAAAACTGCGGACATGCTGACGCTTTTAAGTCTGCAGGACGCGTTGGGAGCACAGTTTGTAAGAGAGCCACCTATTTGCACGAACCCCGTGCCATTATCGGAGAAAGTGGAGCAGTGGAATTGGGATAAAAATCTGGTCTCTCCGAAAAAGATACTTGCCTCACTAATACCGAGCGATCGCTGCAAGGAAATCATCAACGATCCCAACGGTATGGTGGTCACCCCTGGGATTGACTGTGTCGAAAACAAAAAAATTACCAAAAAATGTGAGAAAACCTTTGGACTGCCCTACGTATCGAGGGGCAGTTTCTGTGGCATGAACCTTTTAGGCCACAACTGCCCCAACGCTAGCTCGGCGGATGTCTATGTAAATCTGCTAAAGAAGAATATCTATATAGGCGCGACGCTATCGAAAGTCTTAGAGACTAATCTGGAGGATAACGTGTTTTAAAATTGTTCTGAAATTTGATTTGATTTCGATTGATACATTTGGATTAAATAAATATGAAATATTGTTAATTGCGAAGTGTTCAATTAAATTAATGAAAAATGTGCTGTCAAATTACGGCTTGGCAAATATATATTTAATGGGCGGGGCACGTTCTTGTATTTAGATACCCTCACATTTGCCGGTTTCATTTTATATCATGAATGATGTCAGAGGCATTCAATGGACCGACTGACTGTCTTTGTCTCTCTTTCTCTCTTGCTCTCTGTGTGCTGCCTGTCTGCTGGCTCACGGCGTTTGTTTCATCAACAAAAAACTTTGTAAACTCAGAAATGAAGTGGCAGCAACATCAACGACAACAACAGCAACAACAGCAACAAGGACTACGTTGTGGATGGCAAAAAGAAACCTTTTGTATTGTAGCGATAATGTCATCAACTAAAGTACTCCGTCGGGCATAGTGAAAAGTTCTAGTCAATCGAAATAAAGCACATAATACGTTTGCCGGAAAAGCAGACATGGATGCCCGTAAATGGAATGGCACATGAAAACTGTGTAAACATCATTAAAATGCTTCTTTGCTATGCCCACTGCAAATGGGAAATCATTCAAATTATACGTTTTTCCTTATTTTTATTATTATTTTTCTTTTTGTTCGATTTTTTGCTTGTTTCTATGTTCTAAGAACTTGATATTCTAACGAAATTTGCAGCTGAATGTTTGGACTGTTGTTTGGCGCACACTTAAATTAATCAAATAATTTGGACTGAATATTTAAAATTGTAAGAGACGCAACCACAGAGCATAAAAATTCCGCTGCCAACTAATTTGTTTTTCACATATTTTCCAACATATTTGCATGCGTATTTCGAACTAAGCGCGTTTGTGCCCGGCAAATATGCCCAAAAAGAAAAACCTCAATGAAAATATTCGCAAACAAAAAAAAAAAAAATGCGGCGGGCCGCAAAGTGAAAACAAAGCAAAGTAAATCGTCGAAAAAAACGTAAGCGCATTTGTATGTATGTGCACGTCCTGACTGTGCGCGTATATCTGGCTGTGTGAGCGTGTGTGTGTGTGTGTGTGTGTGTGTATAAAATTTTACGATAATACGCAACAATTTCGAAATGAGTGCGGCCTGGCCGAATGCTGAGCCTTGAGTGCAAAGAAAGCAATTTCCTCAATATTCTTTATGGGCCAAAGCAAGAGTCTGGAATTGTTTCATGCGCGAGGCGTGAGAAAGAGACAACAGAGAAACACTTTCGCTGCTGTTGTTATTATTTTCAAAGTTCCATAAGTCGACTGGTAATAAAATTTTAGAAGCTCGGCTGTTAACATTATCATAACACACACTGCGGCGCAGGCATGTGTAAGTGGCAATATAATAATAATCATGGCGAGAGACACACTCACACACGCACATGCACACAGACAGACACACACTTACATGGCCATTAAGCGCTCTGTCGTCTGTTTGAAGCTTCGACTAGATTGAGCTTGGGCATTGCGTATACGCTGCGTTGTGCGTGCGCCTTATAATTCATTTATTGACATAATTTCGTTTTATTTTTATTTGCTTCACGGCATTTGCGTTCGCTTTTGCCTTTGATGCGATTGCCACGCCCATTTGCCAACAATGGCAAATTGAAAACATATTGAATATTGAATTTGCCGCCATCCTCCACAGATCCCATCCCGCCCTTGAGCATAGCCTATTTAATTATGAAGCTGGGCACGCGACGCTGCATACAATTAGATCTTGTTGCTGCTGCATTCATTAAAAAGCACTTTAATCTATGGAGCATGGACGCAAACATGGATCACGCGCCGTCTAATAAATTGGCGTGCCGAGTAAACAAGGAAAAACCAGAGAAAATCAAAAAAAAAAAGAAGAGAATAGAGAAAATATTCAGAGGGTAAAACGGGAATCTGAATCTTTGGCCGTCGCTGATGCGCCATTCGGCTATATTTCTTGGCTAACCTGTGGACAGAAATAACAAGAGCAACTACAGCTGGACTTGGTCTGCGGAGTTGTCTGGCCCGGGTCTGGCATTGGGTACGTGACTGGGAAAATGCATTTCCGCTGCACGTAAAACCTGGGCAACAAATTTACAACGACAAACCGAAAACTAAAACGAGGCACACGTAAGTCAATCAGCAACTGGACGGCAGCAGTAGCAGTAGCAGTAGCAGTAACAACAACAGCAGCAGCAGCAGCAACAGCAGCTACAACTCACAGCATCTGTACTCTAATGCAATGCGGAAGTAACACTCCAATTTAGTGTGTGTGTGTGTGCGGGGAGGTGGGAGGTTGTTTGTGTGTAGCTTCTGATTTTGTTGCTAAGTGAATGAGTTACTTCCGCTTTGCTTAACAATTTCAAATTAAATCACATCAAAGAGCAGAAGGCTAAGGGTCTAAGGGTCATGTGTACTCATATATTTGAATTTGAAATATGTTTCCACATTTAAAGTTCCATTTATGGCTAAAGCCCATAAAAAATTGATATATATTGGCCAAACTTTTGGTAAAATCTATGATAAGCATTAAGTCATAATTTATTTTCAGCCTAATTGAACTAATTCTCTGGTTAAATGGCTTAAAATAGTGTTGATATCTATTAAGCTAACGCTGAAAACGGCGCTTAAGACTATATATAAATTTCGTTTAAAGTTAGAGTTCATTTTTTGGCATATACACACATATTAAATGCACACATACATATATACAATACATGTACATTTTACATAATGTAAATATTTAAAAACACTTCTTCCATACAAATGCTAAATGTTCTTTAATGAAGTAATTGATTTTTTAAAGTAACAGTAATCTCAAAATAGCATTGTCATAAAATAATAAAAAGATATTTTTTTAATCCATCTCTGTCTAAAACTCAGTTAGAGAAATACTTAATGTTTTTTGGTAACTGTAAACGCAAACAGCGTTTACTTGGCATTGATTACAAATGATTACAGATAAAATATTCATTTATAAAAGGTATATATATATATATTTATATGCGTGTACTTGTTTATGTATATACACCCACTAAAATGAGACGCATGACAGGTAATATATAGATTTCATGTGGTGCAATTAACACCTTGCGAGCTGCAGACAAATATTTGCCAAACTTATCGAGCGATTTATCAGTAACAAGTTTTGACAGGCAGTTAGATAGTGGGCAAGAGCGAAAGAGAGTGAAACAGAGACAGAAAGAGTGGCAGGGAGAGAGACGGAGGGAGAGGCAGTGGGCGACTGAGAGAGGGACAGAGAGAGAGAGAGACAGAGGAGAATTAGAGGGATAGAGACATGTGCGAAGCCAGTTTTTAGGTTTCAATTTTCAGCTTTTTATGACGACATAATTATTGGTAAATAAAATAACAAACACCTGATATATCACTTTGCAGCTGATATTTATTTGTCTAGAAATTCGATTACAACGCGCATTCACTGACCGAGCGTGAAGCGTTATGGGTTAGCGCATTCGCTGGCAGCATGGCGCATACCCAGTCAGTACGCTGCGATGTCGGGCAGCCTGCGCCGCCGGCTGCGCTGTTGCCTGGTCTGCATCTTGGCCTTTTTGGGTCTGCAGTTTGTGGTTGTGCTGCTGCGTCTTGGCGTATTCGATGAATTTGCAAGCAGTCAAGTGAGTGTTAAGCAATTGTTATAATTGTAAACAACTTTGATGTGTGTTTTCTCAGTTGATCTTGCAGCAGCAACAGCTGAGCTGGCAGTTTATCGCGCATACGCCCGATCAGCCGGATGACTTTTTCCAATACAATCGCCAGCTGAGTGACAATTTGCCGGCAGTGCGTGCACTGCCAGCGACGCGGCATGATAGGTTGGTACAACCAAGTAACATTTTCAAATATACCCTACACCCATTAATATAATTGAGATAGGGTATATGGGCTTAGCGCTCTTATTTGTAACAAGCAGCACACATTTGTGGCATGGGTATTACATGATAAACAGAGAGAGTTGTCTGCCTAACAGAATATTCACTGCCCTCGTTCACATTTTTCTACTTCGCCATAATTCATTTCAAATTATTGATAAGAGTCAATTGCTGACCTCCATTTTTGTTTGCATATTTTTAATTAATTTCTAACACAGCTAATGTTGTTTAGTTTAGTATTTAAATAATGACGAATGCTAATGGGCAGTCTGGTGCAGGGTATCTGTTTTACTTGCCGCACAGTTGCAACGCTCGCCACTACGCGCTGCCTCATGCCTCAGCTGCCCAACTGAGCGTTGTGATAAGTTTTTATAATGAGGCGCGCTCCATGCTGCTGCGAACGATCCTGACGCTGGTCAGCCGTACCCCGGAAGACTATCTACACGAGCTCATCATCATAGACGACTGCAGCGGGGATGGTGAGCCTTTGGAAATGTTCATAATATAAGCAATCGTTTTGATATAGCTCTGCATTTTTAGTCACATTGCTTGAGAGCCTTGAACGGGTCATGACTCTTGTTTGTGCCACACGGAGGCGCCCCACACTTATCTTCAGACGCAATCTGCGCCGCATGGGACTAATTTGGTCACGCAACGAGGGCGCTCGTGTGGCAAGTGGCCACTACTTGCTGTTTCTCGATAGTCATTGTGAGGTCAACAATGGATGGCTGGAACCCCTGCTGGATAGGCTGGCGCTGAACTCAATGCTTGCGGTCAGCCCAGTGTTGGATCCCATTGAACCCGAGACCTTGAGCTATCTAGCCGGGAATGTGCTGCTGAAAGGTGGTTTCGATTGGAGCCTGCATTTCCACTGGCTGCCCCGTGTGCTGGCTGTAGAGGAGCTGCCGGAGTGGCCATATAGCAGCCCCACCTTTGCGGGTGGGATACTGATGATCTCACGCGAATGGTTCCACCAGCTGCACGGCTTCAATCCACACCTGGAGGTAAGCGCGCCTAATTAACTAGTGCTTGTGGCAAGTGTGCTAATTGCTTATGTCAAGCAATGACACACAACTTTGTGTCGCACAGAGAAAAAGCAATTGAGGACAGAAAGAGAGAGAGAGAAAGAGAAACTACAGAGAAAAATCTCATTCCAATTTGGGGTTTTCCCT